AGAAAAAGGGGGGAAAATGTCAGTGCGTCTTATGGAGCAAATATGGAGCGGCCGGTCCGGTATGTCCGCCGCCGCCAACATGTCAGAATACCGGGCAGGCCGTTCGTCTCTTCTCTGCAGCAGGACCTTACCTGTTCCTCGATCCAGCGCTGTACAGTCTTCCCGTGCCGGCATCTTAAGTGTGAGCACCCAGCTGTGACAACCGGTGCACACTGCGCATGCGCGAGAAGTGCTGCGCTTTGTGAATGGTACGGCGTCTTCTGGGACACATGATAGGTCATGTGCAGTGGGCACCCGGCTGTCAGATGGGTGCTCACACTAAAGAGAGGACAACTCCACGGAAGTAGGAGCGGGTACCTGTCAAATTCAGGTACCCGCTCCCCCTCCCTCCCCAAAGGTCCGCAGTCTCCGGTCATCCCCTGCCCTACGTCCGCAGTCTCCGGTCATCCCCTGCCCTAGTCCGCAGTCTCGGTCATCATAGGTGCAGCCTATAATTTTTTCTCACCTAATTGATTTTGTCACGGGTTTACGTGCTTATCCCTACTATTGGGGTCACATATCATTAGTATTTTTTGCTTTCCTATATTTACAGGCGGTGTAGTCTATATTCCTTTTCTACACCATATACAGTTTATATTGGTGTCACTTAGTCACTATATTTTTCTTTATCCCCATTTGGGATCACTATTAAATGGTTCTTATTTTTTCTTTAGTTTACATCAGTTGGTTTGTGTTGATTTATATTTATTTATGGTAAATTTGTGGTTTTTCACTTATAATCACTGTATTATTCACCTATGGCACTTTGAGTGTTCTTTTTTTGGTAATTTTCTGGATTATACCAGGTTGGCACATATATCAGTGGATATATCCGCACATCACTTGTCAGGGGGGGGATTTCATTCATCACCAATATTTTCAGTTTCACTGATTTATATGGTTTATTATTTCACGTCTCTTTCTTCTTTCTGATTATATCAGTTTGGCACATATTATTTGTCACTATTTTCTTGTTTGTGCAATTTAGCACAGAAGTGGGGAGTTTATTAAGTGTTCTTGCATGGCAAGACCACTTACTGTTATCGCACATATATATTCTTATTATTATAGCCAAATTTACCACCCTAACTCCTCCTACAGTTTTTACACTACATAGACAGTAATATACCGAAACGTGCGGATTGTTCCCGATTGGTGTGCTATTACTTTGTGGAACGTTTCGCCGAATGGTTCACGAAATATCAGAGTTTTTGTGGTGAAATTGGTCCCATAGGAATGAATGGCGGAATGTTCAAAATTAGAGTGGGAGCGGACAAAAGCTAGAGTGTGCGCTGAAAAATCAGGACATGATTTCTAAACTGCCATCACTCCCTCATTTTCAAGCCCACCTACACAAATCTTATATCAAAATGTTCAGCTATCCCTGTTGCCACTAAAAAATGTCCACGGCTAAGCCATAGTCCTGATAGTTTTCACAATATGACCATTTGTTTGCAACTCACGCCGTCCATTGATATTCATTGAAACTCCACTCTAGCCACCTCAAATTTGAAGAGCAATTTCTAAACTGCGCCTTCATTTTTAATATTTCAGAGACATACTATGCATCAAAATGTAGGTCTGGGTCTTGTGATTCTCACAATATAAAGCTCTTCAGTGTAGGATTTATAATTTTTAAACTACAACCGTTTGAAGATGGCAACCGCCAGTGAAGTGAGCAAGTTGGAGCAGTTTGTTATTAACCGCTCTTCTCTACCCTTGCTGTAGAGTGAGTTGCCATAGGAACCAAGGTGAGTGAGCAGGCAGCAGCAGACAGTTACTCAAGCCACGCCACCCAGTTACTCTGCCCACTCCAGTTGTAGACTACTGGTGGAGGAAAGAACACTTCACACAATTTCCCCAGAAATTGTAGCTTTTCTAGTTCCCATTATCATCTTTGGGTTCATTGGCAATTATTTTATGGTTTTATTTATTTTATGATTTAAAGTCACATATAATACACCTAGGTATTTTTTGGGAGGTTTTTGTATCTATTTATTTATGTAGATTTTATTATAAGCTATTATTTTATATGTTCTTTCCGGTATGTTTTATCTATATGTGTAGCACCACATTATTATATCTCATTATTGTCCATTGTGGTGTGCTTTATTTAGAGTTTACATTCTGAGAACAGGAGGATTATACAGTTATACTTTATGTTCAAAGGTGAACTTATCCTTTAAAGTGCACTTGCAGGGGCATTTGCGGTACCCTTACAATGCACAGTATATTTACCTTTAGTAAATAAACCCCATTGTATTACTCTGCTCTGCACCTGCTCAGTTGCTCTCTATTTTAAAAGGCACTGCCAAATTTGTAGAGACCAATCTGCTGACAGCATTGAAGCGGAATTAAACCCTCACATCCTTTACAGCCAAGGAAACTGCTTCTGTTTGACCTGCAACTGCCACGGTGTTGCACATGTGATCAATTATGAGCAGCCATTTGATGGTTTGAGTTTGGTTGAGGACACCAGCAAATGTGACAGTTACACCATTAAATTGATGGGTCTAGTTTCGCTTTATGATTAACTGCTGCTCAGGAGCTATGGGCTTCAGCAAAATGGCAGATTTCAGCAAGAAGAAACAGGAGCAATGCTGGAGGCAATTTACAGCACTCACTGATTTTGGTAGGATAATTATTAATGTGGAATGTATGCTGCTGGCTAAAGAATAAATTATTTTTTTATCAAAGTTGTTATGGGTAAAGTTCCGCTTTAAGCCTGGGTTCACACTGATGAAGTGTGGAATTCGCAGTGTTTTCTGTGCGAATTCCGCACCGCATCAGAATCGCACCCCATTCATGCAAACTGCTGTGGATGTGTATGTTAAGTTAACAACACCTCAGAATTGGTCCACAAAATGCAGTGCGATGTACAGAATTTGCATAGGTGTGAATACCCACACGGTCCAATCCAAGTGTGGACCAACCTGCACCTTTTTTTGGTGCGGGTGAGGTGCGATTAGAACTATCGTGCACAATTTTCATGTGATTTTCGCAGGAATGCGGTGCAGTCCCTGCTCAGTTGCAATCCAACCGTATATAAAACCCAGGCACTGCAAAAGAGACAAAGCATGCCTCTTCTGCATAAAAATCCTGCCTGTTCAATCTGCTGACTTTAAAGCAAATGGTTGTACACAGCCTTGCTCTTGTGACACCTATGCGCATCGGCACTAAAACACATGATTATCCAGAGTATTCACCAAATGTTATGAAAAACTGCCAAGACTGCATGCACGGTTAACCACTTGCCTGCTGCCCTATAGTATAACTATTGCTACAGGGCGGCAGGGCTGCGCAAAATCACGTATACATGTGATTTGCACTTACGGGTATGGGGCACCCGTGTGCTGCCATTAGCGGCTAGGCATGTCAATCACAAGGTCCTGGCCAGAGATTCCCTGCTGGTACCCAGAGATTGCCATGCAAAAGCTGACTGGGGAAAGACCTGACTGTAAACAACATAGGTTTCTCTCCTGCCAGCAGTAACATGCTGCTTTGCATTTCTCTGCACAGCAGAGAAATACAAAGCAGCATGCCTCCCTAGTAAAACAGCACACATGGTAAAAAACACACATCACACAGTTAACCCTTTGATTGCCCCAGATGTTAACCCCTTCCTGCCCTGTTTCATTAGTACAGTGTCAGAGCTTTTTATTAGCACTGATCACTATTAATGTCACTGGGGATGTCAGTAGCAGTTAGTCAGTTCCCACCCAGTGACAGAATGCCTGCTGCAATCCAGCTATAAGTCGCTGATCGCCACCATTACTAGTATAAAAAAAAAAAAAAAAAAGATAAATTCCAGTATCTATAGAATTAGTAGAAGCTACAACTTTCATGTAAACCAATTAATTTACAAGTATTGTGATTTTTTTTTAGCAAAGACATGTAGCAGAATACATACTGGCCAAAATGTATGAAGACATTTGTTTTAAATGTTTTTATTGGATATATTTGTAGCAAAAAGTAAAAAATATTGTTCTGTTCTTTTTTTTCCTTAATGGTCTGTCTTTTTTTTGTTTATAGAGCAAAACATTAAAAATGAAGAGGTGATCAAATACCACCAAAAGAAAGCTCTATTTGTGGGATAAAAAGGACATAAATTTCATTTGGGTGCAGCATTCCATGACCGCGCAATTGTCAGTTAAAATAACGCAGCGCCGTATCACAAAAAAATGGCCTGGTCAGGAAAGGGGGTAAATCCTTCGGAGGGCAAGTGGTTAAAGCGGAGTTTCAGCTAAAAAAAAAAAAATAAAGATCAGCAGCTACAAAAACTGTAGCTGCTGACTTTTAAAATACAGCCACTTACCAGTCCCTTGGTCCAGCGGTGTCCAGACCACCACTGGTTTCACCGGCCGTCTTTTCTCCCTGGTGCCGACATCTTTAGTGGGGGCAACTGTGACACTTGCGGCTTCACAGATGGGTGCACACTGCGCATGCACAAGAAGTGCTGTGCTTTATGAATGGCCCCGTAGTCTTCTGGAACCTGGCATGTGTCCCAAAAGACTACGGGGAGGAGGTGTCAACTTCAGCTTCCGATCGCTTAGGCACTCGCAGTGGGAGTGGGTACTTGACAAATTCAGGTCCCCAAAAGGTACCAATCCTTAACGGGGAGCGGGGGGCAAAGGCTTAAAGTGGAACCTCCCTTTTTGGGTGGAGCTCCACTTTAAACAACAAAGCGGACAAGTAATAGCATTTACAAGAGCACGACCACATGCAGCCACTCACTTGGATTGCAATACAGGTTGCAGGTGAGGGAAAGCAATCCCTGACCCACCCAGATAAGGCGAGCCTGGTGTTATTACTGAGCCTCTTGTCCAATATCACTGTCATTAAATCCACGTCAGAGGCTGCTGCTCTGAACTGATTTGTCTCCTAATGATCCCTTCTATAGGACTAGAACTAAGAAATGTCATGCTGCCTGTATGACGCTAATGATCTGATGAGGTGCTCACCGCTGCTGGCCGGCTTATGTATCCCCATGATCCTATTCATCCTCTCCTCCGAGTTACTCATCAGCTTCCTCCGCCGGATCTCTGCCCTCCGCTGGGAAGCTGACATCCCCTCTGGAGACAAGTCTCCGGTACCGTCCGGACCCTCCATACCGTACTAGTAGCTTAGATCACCTCTCCACCCTGTACGATCATTTACACAATGAGCTCCTCTGTCAGCTTAATGACGGCTCACAGTGATGACATCACTGCCTGCGTCTGGCATCCTCCATCTTGTGGTTGGCAATTACGTAAAGGAAGGGAACCGCAGTAAAATATTAGCTGCGTCATATATAGCAAAGCATTTCTCTGTCCTCTTCCCAGTCTGGCTCCTGCCTCCTCGATCCTTACTGAAGCATAGACTGATTCTCCTGAAGTGATGCATAACCACCATACTCTGCATTAGTACTAAAACCTATACTGTGAGTAGGGTTGCCACCTCATCCCTTTAAAACCTAACATATTAATTACACTGTTTCTGAGGCTAGTGTAATGCAGATAAGGCACTATGAGTTTAACACACTAACCAGCCACAGAACCTGTGGAAACAATATGTGTTTGATTATAAAGGGATGAGGTGGCAACCCTGTGATGGAACCATTCCAGGGGGTGTGTCCTTGACAGCCTTTGCTTACAGAAGTGTGCTGGATAATACTGGGGGGTCACTGAAGTGACCAGGTAGCTCAAATGCAGACCCTGAAAAGGGAATCAATATTGCTTTTTCTTCAAAGCCCATCGCCAGTGAGAAAGATAACCCTTTTTCCTCCCCCTCTAAGGCCTCATGCACAAAAGGTGTTTTTGCAGACACTTTTAGAGGTGTCAGGCATTTTTTTTTTACAGCTTTGAAACAGCCCTCCATGATATCCTATGTGTCCATGCACACAGACTTTTGGAAGCTTTTTGTAGCAGTAGTGTTTACCAGCAGGAAAAAAAACCAGGGCCAGTGTGTCCAAGAGCAGCAGTGTTTTGGCAGAACACACCTAGACATGTGTTAACGCTAGGCGCTGTAAGGAGATGTATCTTTAAACTGGCATCTTTTTTCTATAATGCCTCTGTCACGTGTGCCGCCTGCTCACTCCCTTCTCTCCCTCGCCGTACAGAGCCTTGAAGCAGGTTGTGCGGGATGAGGGAAGGGGACCGCTGTGGCTTGCCCTTGGGTCACAGCTCCCCCAGCAATTCAGCCGGAAGAGCTATGACCCCCCACTGCCAGGAAATCCCGGCAGGGGGCCGCTGGGAGGTTTTTGCGTGCGCCCGGTGGGCACTGGGCTTCCCGCGCTCAGTGCCCAGCCGGAGACAAAGGCCGCGCTCCCTGTGCGTGGCCAGAGTGAGGGGGCATGCCTTGTTGCCCTGGTAACGTGGCGCTGGGCCGGCCATTGCTGGGGCAACCCGGAAGCATCCTGCGCGGCTTTTAAAAGGCCAGCGCGAGACCAGGCTCGCTCTCCCTTCCTCCTGCGCTGTCCGGCAGCTCTCCCTTGGCCCGCCGCCACCACTGTCGTGGGAGGTCCGGGTGGGGACCGGGCCTCTGCAGCCATCCCCGTTGAGTGCTCTGCATGAGCCCCCCTCCTCAAAGGTCAGACCCTACAGCCATGACTCCCGCTGCTGTTCCTGGCAAGCTGGCCGCTGCAGGGCCCCTGCCTGCTGATCGCTGGGCCCCTGGAGAAGCTGGCCGCGGTGAGGGCCCCTGCCTGCTGATCGCTGGGCACCTGGAGAAGTTGGCCGCGGTGAGGGCCCCTGCCTGCTGATCGCTGGGCCCCTGGAGAAGCTGGCCGCTGTGAGGGCCCCTGCCTGCTGACCGCTGGGCCCCTGGAGAAGCTGGCCGCTGTGAGGGCCCCTGCCTGCTGATCGCTGGCCCCCTGGAGAAGCTGGCTGCTGTGAGGGCCCCGTCCTGCTGATCGCTGGGCCCCTGGAGAAGCTGGCCCCGGTGAGGGCCCCTGCCTGCTAATCGCTGCTGTCCCCTGAAACGCTGGCCGCTGTGAGGGCCGCCGTCCGTTGCTGAGGGTCCCTGGGAAGCCGCCTTGCCTGCTGATTGCTGGTTCCCTGGAAGCTGCCTGCTGCTGAGCATCCGCAAGTCGCCTACCTCCCTGGAAGCCACCTGCTGCTGAGCGTCTGCAAGACGCCTATCGTGAGTGTCCCTAGAAGCCATGAACTGTCCCTGTTGTGCGCACAGACCACCCATGTCATGAACTGTCCCTGTTGTGCGCACAGACCACCCGTGTCCTGAACTGTCCCTGTTGTGCACACAGACCACCCGTGTCCTGAACTGTCCCTGTTGTGCGCACAGACCACCCGTGTCATGAACTGTCCCTATTGTGTGCATAGACCACTCTTGTACCGGACTGCCCCTAGTGTGCGCACAGACCACCCGTGTCATGAACTGTCCCTGTTGTACGCACAGACCACCCGTGTCCTGAACTGTCCCTGTTGTGCGCACAGACCACCCGTGTCATGAACTGTCCCTATTGTGCGCACAGACCACCCTTGTCCTGAACTGTCCCTATTGTGTGCACAGACCATCTGTGTCATGAACTGTCCCTATATTGTGTGCACAGACCATCTGTGTCATGAACTGTCCCTATTGTGTGCACAGACCACCTGTGTCATGAACTGTCCCTATTGTGCGCTCAGACCACCCGTGTCATGAACTGTCCCTATTGTGCGCTCAGACCACCCGTGTCATGAACTGTCCCTATTGTGCGCTCAGACACCCGTGTCATGAACTGTCCCTATTGTGCGCTCAGACCACCCGTGTCCTGAACTGTCCCTATTGTGCGCTCAGACCACCCTTGTCATGAGCTGCCCCTATTGCACGCCCAGACTACCCTTACTCGAACCGCCCCATGGCGTACCCGGAGTGATGCTACCTGGCCTGATGCCCCTGAAAGCTGTGCTTGAGCCAGGTCAGGCCCCCCTAGTCAAGGTCCCGTGAGTCCCCGTGAGCCTGATGTCCCTAGAAAGCTGGGTGGGAGCTGTGATGAGGTCAGGCCCCCCTAGTCAAGGTCCCGCTGATTCCCCCATGAGCCGATGTCCCTAGAAAGCTGGGTGGGAGCTGTGCTGAGGTCAGGCCCCCAGTCAAGGTCCTGCTGATTCCCCGTGAGCCCGATGTCGTCCCTAGAAAGCGCTGTGTGGGAGCTGTGTTGAGGCCAGACTCCACAGCCAAAGTTCCTTTGAGTCCCCGTGAGCCTGATGTCGTCCCTAGTACGCTGTGTGGAAGCTGTGTTGAGACCAGACTCCGCAGCCAAAGTCCCGTGAGTCCCCATGAGCCTGATGTCGTCCCTAGTACGCTGTGTGGGAGCTGTGTTGAGACTAGACTCCACAGCCAAAGTCCCGTTGAGTCCCCGTGAGCCTGATGTTGTCCCTAGAAAGCTGTGTGGGGGTTGTGCTGAGGTCAGACCCCATCGCCAAGGTCCCGTTGAGTCCCCGTGAGCCCGCTTACCGTGGGTGTCCCTACAAGCCACATGTTGTGGAGTGCCATGAACTGTCCTGATTGAGTGTCTTTCATAGTTCAATAAAGCTTTGTGTGTTCCCCATCTTCTTTGTGTGTTCTGTCCTGCCTACGCTTCCGTCACAGCCTCCATGTTAGATATGTAACAGCTCAAGTTTCATTTCTCAGGAATATTCTTTCATTTCTGTGTAAACAGATATACCTTATATGGTACCCCTCAGCTTTTGTAGTTTCTATACTGATAATAGAGTGTAATGCTTTATTGGTTATCCTGATTCTGCTTCTGTATATTAACCCTTACACATAAAATTAAACTTCAGAAACATGGCTTAAAACACTTTTCTGTCATTAGCTTTATTTCTCTGGAAGCGGTGGTAATAGAGGGAGCTAGGACAGGTTGCCTACAGATAGAAATGAGTTCTACCAATTTGGTGTCAGAAGTGGAATAAAGGCGCAGCCAATAAGGTAAGCTGAGCAATATGTCTTAGTTCACCTTGATAGGAACACTTTGAAAACACATCAGATCTCAATGGGGAAAAATATGCTGGTTTATCTATACTGATATGAACTGGGTAATGTGTTAGAAACGTAAGGATGCCCCATCGTTTGATGGAAATTAAAAGTATCAACCTACAGAGGACTGAATTCAAAGACACCCTGAAAATCATAGTGAAAAAATTATGCAGTAGGCTAGTCCATTTTGCTGAAATTTCATAGCAGCAACTCAAAATGGTACTCAGTAGTTTGTATGGCCCCCACATGCTTGTATGCATGTCTGACAACGTCAGGGCATACTCCTAATGAGATGACAGATGGTATCCTGGGGTATTTCCTTCCAGATCTGGACCAGGGCATCACTGAGCTCCAGGGGTCTCCAAACTTTTTAAACAAAGGGCCAGTGCACTGTCCTTCAGACTTTAGGACAGCCAGTGGCCCACTATTGCCAGTGAGTGTAGAAAATGCCTCAGGCTTGTTGGTCAGTGGGAGCAAAACCATTACATAGCGCCTGTGGTCAGAAGAAGGAATAGTGCCCTATAGTTGGTATCAGTGGAGAGAATAGATCTCCATCATTTGTGTCAGTGGCAGGAATAGTGCCCCATTGTTTTTGTCAGTGGCAGGAATAGTGCCCCATCGTTTGTGTCGGGGGACTATTCCTGCCACTGATACAAACGAAGGGGCACTATTCCTGCCACTGACACAAATGATGGGGTTCTATTCTTTCCACTGATACCAATGATGGGGCATTATTTTTCTGCCACTGACAAACGATGGTGCACTATTCCTGCCACTGTCATTTGTGCCAGTGGCAGGAATGGTGCCTCATCGTTTCTGTCAGTGGCAAGAATAGTGCCCCATCATTTGTGTCAGTGGCAGGAATAGTGCCCCATCATTTGTGTCAGTGGCAGGAATAGTGCCCCATCCTTGGTGTCAGTAGGAGCAATAGTGCAATATTGTTGATATTAGTGGATGTAATAGTAACTAAATAAAATTAGTGAATATTACTTGTGAGCCACTACAAATAGATAAATGACTTCTTACTCTTATTATTATATGGTAATATAATTTTGGAGTGTGGCACTTTATTTTTATTATTTTTTAGTGGGTGTAATAGTGCTCTATCTTTGATGTCAGTGGGAGGAATAATGTTCAGACATGGAATGAAGTATGGC